GCTAAGTGAGTGAACATCAAAGATCACACAACAGAATTGCACGCTCTCTCTCTCTCGCTCTCTCTCTCTACCGTTAAGTAACTTGTGCATTGTTTTACTTACTTGTTTATGACATATCCGACCGAACTACAAACTTTCCAGTGATGTCTGTGAGAAAGATATATTCACTCGACAAGCTCGTGCATCTGCGCCACCGCGAGCTCAATCCACTCACGCGCGCTCAATTTGTTTATCAGCTCGCGCACATCAGCTATACAGGCATTAATACTGAATGTTTAACATTATATTCATTGCATACATATACTTCGTATACATCCTTAATCTCTAATAACTCCATTCTGCTGTCTTTTGTTTTGTTGTCGGTGTTTCTTTGTTTGAATATGGCGATTATCACATGCTGTGTGGTATCGGCGTTTGGTATCGGGGCATTTTAACGAGTACGAGTACAAGAGCTCAGTATCGGGCCCGATACCGATACCAGTATCGGAATCGGTGCATCCCTAGTCTAAAGTGAGAAGAGCAAAGAGAGCAAGAAAACACAGATAGACAGAGAGAATTATGCACTTTTAAGAAATGAGATACCGTACTGCGACACATATCTGCTCTTTCTTGGGATCAATTTGAGCTGTATTGGTCTGACAGTTTCTTTACAATACTGCCAAAGAAAACCAATAATAAATCAGTGATGTATACCAGGCTAGTACAGTAATGTGACACTCACACTAGCAATTTAAGGAGGTGGTTTTTGAGTGAGAGCAGATCTCCTTCCAGAACTCCTATTAGTCGAGTGTAGGTGGGTTGGGGACAGTAAAATCAGCCACTGCCCCTCAGGCTATGTTATACCGGTAGGTATATTTTTTCTGTAGCTTGCAGAATCTGCCTCCCCAAGGATGAACTATAATTGTTGACTTTCTGGTCCTCGAGAGAAAGCTGGAATCATTGTTTGACTTGTGTCTCCCACTGCACCAACGCTTTTAAAAATGTCCACAGTAAAAGATACGCTCTGCATCATCGTATATTAACTGTGTATTGGTGGTTGACATGACATTTCAAACGATGACAAATGTATGAAATGCCATCTAAAACATCTAAATACAATTATATTTGTGTAAAAGTATTATGAGACAAAATAAAAAAAAAAAATATTATTATAAAATTAATAATAATAATAATAAAACGATAAACGATAATATCCATGACCCTACACAGAACAAGCAGTTTGGAAAATGGGTGTATGAAAAAAAAAAAAAATAAAAAAAAAAATACTTGCAACTCTACATAGGACAAGCAGTTTGGAAAATGGATGGATGGATGGAAAATAATAAAATATAAAAGAAAATAAATAAAAGACAATATATTCATACAAATTCGCTTACAACGGTCTGGTATGGTCTTGCTATGTCATGTATTGTTGCTTTTGACAGGGTATCTCTTGTTTGTTCCATTTCCTAATAATTGATTAAGTTACATAACTGATGACCTACAAGTGCCAAGCGTTTGCAGCTGAATAGATGGGCTAGTCTATGATATTCACTTCGTCTGAAAGGGGAAACTGGCTCTAATTAATACCATTGCTTTATTGCTTGCCATGAGAGAGCCAGCAAACATAATACCCCACTCTCAAGAGGTCCAGAGGAGAATGTGTGTGTGAAAATGAGTGAGAAAGAGCGAAAGGAAGATGGATTAGAGATACACACACACACACACACACACACACACATGCACACTCTGTTTCATCTATTGGAAAATATTCAGCTAATTGCCCATTCAAACAACCAGAGTCTTTAACAATGTCTTTAATCGGTGCAAATCGGTGTGCGTGTAATTTTGTTCAGTATCTATCAAAGTATAATATAATGAAAGTATAATATAATGATGTATTATGTAATATCCTTTCATACACAGAACTGAAAGTTTTGGGATTTAAAAAAACTGTACCATTTTGCACTATTTCTAGGTCACTGATTAAATAAGCAAATTTGACAATGATCATGTGACTGACAGACAGTAAGTTGTTGTAGTTTCCATTGAAGAACAAGAAGTATTTTGGAACATCTCAAATTATGCTGGAGAACATGATCGTTAGGTTAAAAAAAAGTGCGGCTATAGTTAAAGCAAAAGAGGAAAGAACCAAATACTAAGACATAAAATGTATATTCATTTTTTAATTCAACATTTCACTTAAATTTTTATGCTGATAATACAATTTGTAATTAGGGATGGGTGATATGGCAAAAATATATCACAAATGTTTTTTTTTTTTTTTCAGGAAGATCATGATTCACGATTTTATCACGATTCTTTGTCATGTTGGTTTTACTATTTTGCAAGTTGTCTGAGCAGTACAGCCAAACTAATTTCCTTATTTTAAAAATAAGCCTTACAAGGCAACAAAATATAAAATAAAAATAAAAAATTTTTTTTTATTTTATTTTATAAAAATAAAAACAAATAGTTGCTAGTCCCCAGTGATTTCCATAGTAATTTTTTTTTCTACTATCAAAGTCAATGGGGACCAGCAACTGCTTGGTTACCCACATTCTTCAAAATGTCTTCCTTTGTGTTCAGCACATAAAAAAAAATAAATAAAAATACTACAGGTTTAGGACAACATGAGAGTGAGTAAATAATGACAGTATTTTAATTTTTGGGTGAACTATCCCTTTAATGACAAGCGGGAGCATGTTTAATACAATTAGTCTGCTGTCAGTTTAAGACCCGCACGCATCTAATATACAGGCACTCATCTGTTTTCTCTCACTTTTTACTTACTCTTTAGACATAAACAAATGTGTTTATATGTGAACCATGTGTGTTTTTTACAGTATTAGCGCATTATATTGAGACGGAGGCGCCAGAGCTGCAAGTGATAGAATGTGTGCTGTAGCACGATACTACAATATTTCTCCAAAAGCAGATCGTGGAGACATTTTAATTGTCCACAATCAAAAATCGTGATATCGGACACCCCTATTTGTAATGTAAAAATTGCATTAAAATAGAAAGAGGCAAAATAGAAACATTTTCACTGATGGTTTTTTGGACCCCACTGTATGTTATATGCATAACTAAATGAATTATATTGTACTCAAACCATTAAAACGTGCAAAAAAAAAAAGGTATAGTCACAGTATCTGCAACTGCTGTGAAAACAATTACCATATTGATAATTTTCTCGATTCACCAACAGAGATCAGAGGTATGGCAGCGCATTCAGGAAGAAAAAAAGATCTATACATAGGAGTCCTGAAATCAGCACAATATCATGCTGTGAATGTAAATATTTACCTTGAGTGTCATCTCCCCCACAAATATGGCTGTGAAAATGTAATTGGACACGGTGAGGAAAAGCCTCTCCTGCAGAAAGAGAAGGAGGAGGGAAAAAGAAAAATAGAGAAAAAGAGAGCAAAATTATGAAAAGAGTAGAAAGGAAAAAGCTGTCAGAATATCTGCTTGTGGACAAAATGGAAATCATCAATAACTAACAGCAGATTAAACAACTGAATCAAAGATCCATTGGCCTCAAGTCTTACCAGGCTACCCTGAAGGATCTTGGGTCTCTCCAGAGCCACAGTGATGCAGTTTGAGAAGATGAAGGCCAGCACCACATAGTCAAACAACTTATGGGCTATAATGGACTGGCACAATATCCTGAACCTGAAGAGGGAGGAGGAGGTCAGGAATAGAGATATATAGAGACAAACTAAAAGATAAAGACTAGGAAAGTAGAATTAAATAGCTTTGGTCCAAAACCAAGTGAGCTGCCTTGCTGCCTACACAGACAGCATCCAAACCATTATAGAATCTCACAAGTGAGCGATTTAGAATGTTCTACATAGGCATCAAGGGTGTGATCTGCAAGTGAGACTAGACTTGCAATTGGTTTTTGATGTTATATGTTGCTAAGCTAACAACACAATATTCTAATAAGCACAAATATAAACAAACACAAAAAAATATGGCAGCGGTGATAGATGCTATTTACACTAAGTGCAAATAGCATATTTTCTTAGCGATAGATGCTATTTACACTAACTGCAAATAGCGATTGATTCTATTTACACTAAGTGAAAATAGCAGTATTTTTTAATGATATGCTATTTACACTAAGCGCAAACAGCTATAGATTCTATTTATACTATGTTAAAACAGCAAGATTTTCTGCTATTTATACTTATTGCAAATAGTAGCAATTATCTGCACCTCAGTATTGTCGTACATTATAAAACAGTGCGCAATAATAATGTACTGAGTGTAAATTATAATTCTAATTCAAATTAAAAAATAGATGCCACATTGGGACAATAAAGCCCTCCCTACACCTACCCTAACCGTACCCGATACTTTATTTTCAACTTTTTTTATTATTTCCTTCATTTTTATTGAAAACAAATGCCTTTCCGGTGCGATATGAGATTTGAAAAGGAAGAAAAAAAGTTCGGCAAAAGGCGGGTTCGGACTCGGGTCGATCGCGTCAAAAAGCACGCGCCTTACCATCTACGCCACTAAAACTGATGTTAGACGAGCGTCTTTTTACAGTGTTGACTATTCCAATCAGACATTGGTGGGCGGAGTTAGTGTAAATAGCCTCAGCCAACAAGGCGGGCTATTTGCACTTAGTGTAAATAGACACTCTGAAAAAATATTGGGTAAAACAATATTGTAATTTACCTTCAAAAGTTTGGGGGCAGCTATGCTCACCAAGGCTGCATTTATTTGATGAAAATAAAGAAAAAAACCCCAGCAATATTCCAAAATATTATTATAATTTAAATGAACTGTTTTCTATTTATTATTTTTTATTATATTTTTCTTTCTGTGATGGCAAAGCAAAATTTTCAGCATCATTACTCTAGTCTTCAGTTTCACATGATCCTTTAAATCATTCTAATATGCTGAACTGCTGCTCAAGAAACATTTCTTATTATCACAGCTGAAAATGGTAATACATTGTGGAATCTGCGATATAACATTTTTCTCTTGATTCTTTGATGAACAGAAAGTTTGAAAAACAGACTTTATTTGAAATGCCTGGCAATCTTTTGTAAAATAATTAATGACTAATTTTATTAAATTAATGCCTTGTTGAAATAAAGTATTGACTTCTTTCAATCAACCAGCCAATCAATCAATCAATCAATACAAATAAATAAAATAAATAAATAATATCTTACTACCCCTAAACTTTGAACAGTAGTATATGACTCTCACTTCATCTGCCATCTTGGATTAATTTTTTTCATGGAGATTGTCACAATGCATTCTGGCAGCTCACTAGTTTTTGGAACAGCCAAATATATACATGTTTTCCACTGCAGCCCAAACTTTAGCTGGATATTCAAAGACTAGACAGTTTGGAAAAAACAGACTGACAGGCAGAGGGTGGGAATAATCGGCTCCTATCTCGCTGACACGGATCAATATCCTAATCAAGCCACCCTCTAAAGAGCTGGCAGCCCATCAGTGCTATTGATCAGGCAGGGATAGCAGAATAACTGCTGGCCGAGTTACCGTCAGGAGAGAAGAAGAGGTGTGCAGGCATCTTTCCCTCTGTGTTATTCAGAGATCAAATCAGTGGCACTATAGGAAACAACCTGTGACACAAGCTTGCCTTTATCTGCTTAATTTCAACCTGTTCTTGGGCGTGGAGCAACTACTAATTTGTTTTGTGCTATAATGAGGTCCATGAAAAACAACTTCCAGCTGCACTCTCGAATTTTGCTTAGACTGAAAAGCTTTGACTCTTACCTGAAAAAACCCTTCAGTAATTTTTAATTGTAAAGAGACACGAAGGTGCATGATTGCCAGCAGGTTTTGCTTATGATGAGGCCATGTGGGACACAGCAGCACAAGTGCAAAAGCATTACTTTAGACCAGGTATTCCCAAACGTTTTGATAGCCAAATCCCTACGACCTAAAATATGTCTTTACTTGAAGTACCCACTGAGATTTTAAGTTATTTCAATAATTTAACAACAAATTAGCATGTTCACAGTTCTATGAAGTCAGTTAATGGTCACATTACATGCAGGTAAAAAGTGTTAATTTTGTATAATTGAGATACTACTATAGTTTTTATTTAGCTATTGTCACGGAAACACCTGCCTCACCAGCCGAATCAGCCTCCTACACCCACTCACAATCACCTGATTACTGATCACGGACACCTGCACCCACTTACCACACCAGTCAAATACACACTCACCTCAATCACTCGTCGGCTGGTCTCAAGGTTACAAGCTTCTCTGTATGGGTTCCTTGCCTCCCGATCTGCCTGTCAAGCCTCGAAGTTCCTTTGAATAAACTCCCTGACTTACGTTAACCTGTCTGTTTGCCTCTTTGTCCCAGATGTGACAGAAGACCGGCCCCTCAAAATTAAATGGATACAAAACGGACTCATGGATTCTCGGAGCACATCCTCACCGGAACCCTTACCCATCCGGACTGTCACCGCCTCCCCACCTGCCTGTCCCATGGCCCGGCCAGCAAGCTTTTCGGGTGAGGCAGCCTTCTGCAGCGGGTTTTTGCTGCAATGTTCCCTCTACCTGGAGATGCAACCACACCTGTTTGTGACCGAGCGGGCCAAGGTGTCGCTCATTATCTCATTGCTGTCTGGAAGAGCCTTGCAGTGGGCCACCATCTACGATGACACCGTGGGGCTCGACAGCTTCCTCCAAAAGGCGGTTCGCATCTCCCAGCACCTAACCGCGTGCCATAAAGAATCGATTGCCGCTGCCTCACCCAGCCTCTCCACTCCAGCACCAGAGCCCATGATCACGGATAGCTACCACCTATCGTCCACGGAACGATCTCGGAGACTCACCCGTGGCCTATGTCTCTACTGTGGATCCCATGAGCACCAGCTCCGCACCTGTCCCATTCGTCCACCACGCCCAGCGGTGAGTACTATCCAGATCACTCCTGATGTGTCTTGCATGCCTCATATAAATGCTCTTCTAATTTATCACACCCAATCCTTTCCAGTCAAAATCCTCGTGGACTCCGGAGCGTCGAGCTGCAAAAATACCACGACCTACCAGATCACCACGCGCGTCTTCAGCAAGCTGGATCTAAGGAGCGCCTATAACCTCATCCACATTCGCAGGGGTGACGAATGGAAAACTGCCTTTGTAACGCCCACTGGGCACTATGAGTACCGGGTCATGCCCTATGGGCTTTCCAACTCACCAGGGGACCAAGTCTGGTTATCCACCCGGGACATCCGCCTCCGGCGGCCCAGCGGGAAGCTGAGTCCCCGGTACATAGGTCCTTTCCCCGTAGCAAGGCGCATCAACGAAGTCACGTACCAGTTACACCTGCCTGCCCATTACCGGATCTCACCCACCTTTCATGTGTCCTTGCTTAAACCCTTCACTAATACTCTTCTCCCTCCCTCCACAGAACACGAGGTACCTCCCCGACTTACGTTAACCTGTCTGTTTGCCTCTTTGTCCCGGATGTGACAGCTATAGTTTCAGTTACTTAAATTAACCCTTAAACAAATATATTTTACAAATATTTTTTTCAAAAATGTTTTGTTTTATTTTGATATTTTTTTTTTAAGTAATTATTTATTTATTTATTTTAAAGTTTATTCATTTTTATCATTTCATTATTTATAAGCCTTTTCATCAACGCACAAACCCCATTTTGGAAAACCTTACATAGGTGATTAATACTGTAAATACTGTACTCTCTGTTTCATGTAAGTGATAGCTAATAAAACTATCAAAGCAAACAAAATAAAACAGCATTCACAAAATTTATTTGCAGCATTTATTTATTATTAGTGACAAGTTTTGCTCTTTGATTTGATTGGCTGTGAACATAATCACCTGATAGGTCAATCACACATGACAGCTAAGAAAACAAAACTATGCGTCTGTTCATCTGCTTTTTCACAGAACTCACAGCTAGCATATAACATTTAAAAATATATACAGTTATGGTCAAAATTTGACCTATGCTTTGAAGTATCTGCAAAATGTTAATTATTTTACCAAAATAAGAGGGATCATATACAATTCATGTTATTTTTTATTTAATACTGATCTGAATAAGATATTTCACTGAGGACAACTGAGGGACTCATACACAATTTTCCCTGATCTTCAAATTCTCCAGGCTCTTAATGCATGTGTTTTCTTCTGGAGCATCAGTGACCGTTTGAGCTTTTTGTAGTAGTTGCGTATGAGTCCCTCAGTTGTCCTCAGTGTGAAAAGATGGATCTCAAAATCATACAGTCATTGTTGGAAAGGGTTCAAATACGCAAAAAATACTGGAAAAGTATTTGTTCTGAAGAACAGCAGACAGTTTAACTGTTCAGGACAAACAAGGGATTCATGAACAACTATCACAAAAAAACAACAACAACTGTGGATCATCCAGGTAACAACAGTATTAAAGGGGTCCTATTATGCTCTTTTACAAAGTGTTGATTTAATTTTGGGGGTGTACTAGAACATGCTCTCATGGTAACGTAACCAAAATATGCGTGTTAGAGAATGTACAAATGTATGTTAAAGGGGTCCTATTATGCTCTTTTACAAAGTCTTGAATTTGTTTTGGGGGTGTACTAGACCATGCTCTCATGCTTGGTGGTTCGAAAAACGCATTATTTTTTTCATAATTTACATTATTACAATACCTTTCTCCCCATCCTGGCACAAACGGCTCGATTAGTTCCGGCTTTGATGAAGGCCCACCTTCCGAAAAACGAAATGTGTTGTGATTGGTTAGCTGTCCCAGTGCGTTGTGTTTGGCGAACATCTTAAGACGGTGTTTCAGTACTGCCCCGCCCCGCCCCTTGCCAAAGCAGCAAGTTCCGTTTGCTCCGGTATAGTTAAGGATGGCGTCAATATTGCCATATCAGTAGAGTTGGGGTACTCGAACTTGGACTCGGACTCGAGTCCGGACTCGAGTCCAATTTTGAATGAACTCGGACTTGTCACGCACTCGGGTGAATTTGTACTCGGACTTGACACGGACTTGAACATTTTGGACTCGGAAAATATTCCGAGTACAGTCGAGTCCGCGTCATGTGTAACAATAAAACCAGCATAAAATTGAGATGAGAAATTAATTGGAAAACAACGCTGTAGTCCAAACGAGCCGTTCGTTGTAGTTCTTGAAAAGGGATTTTTTAAAAACGAAATATCTCCATTTGGAGTGGACTTTGAGATTTGTAACTTTGTAGATCTTTTTTATGCTCAAACATACATACTACACACTGACTAAAATTAAAAAAGTAAAAAAAGCATAATAGGACCCCTTTAAGGCGAGAAACTGCAGGTGAATAGGGTAAAACAAAATACTAATAGTTATGGCCTTACCCAGCTGATTGATTACATATAAAAACTATAAAAACATTATAAACAGCACGTTCTATATCGAAGTATGACTGAAATGATATGACCAAAGCTTTTTTATTTTTTTTACCATTTACATGCGAATCCCCATTTTAACAAACTTTCAAGACTTTAAAACTTTCAAGTTTATAACTGACCAGATTCTAAAAACAAATTTATAGTTGTCTTTGTAAAAAAAATATGTATCTTTGGAGCCCCTGCTGTGACGCTGTACAAATGCTTCCAGTGTGAATACTGTCGCGAGTCTTCAGCTGCAGTGACACTGACGTGAAGCTCAAGCTTGCTGTGTGAAACAGGTGTTATTTTCACTTTTACATCCAACATTGCTTACGAGCTACAGTTGCTAGAGCGGACAGGAAATGGCGGACAGAGTAATATGGTACAGTCCGTCAGCGGCCGTGGGCGGGGCCTGAGCAGTACTACGTCATACTGCTCAGAAAATCAAAACGGCTTGATAACTGAGACTGTTTAGGTTTTTTGGGAATTCAAAAAAGAAGTGAATGGATTTTTATCATTGCAGGGTGGTTGTGTCCACACGCTGCTAGGACACATTTATATGCAAACACCATGTAAAAGAAATTTTTGCATCCGATGTCCCTGATAAGTCTCATTTCAGTTTTCCTTTGAACTATGGCTCAAATATCATATTTAAATATGGTGTGTAGATGCATTGTGCCTGGTTTGATGGCAATCACACTAAATGTCAATGGTTGTCATAAGCAGTTGTGATGTGCCAGTTTAAATGTGTAAATTAGATTTGAGAGCTATTGTGGAAGGGATGATCAGTGAATACAGACTTACATTTTGGTCTGTTACTCATCCAAAGCTATTGTATGGATTCAGAAGAATTGGAATATGACATGAACTCATTTGAACAGCTTTTACGGTGCATGTCTTTTTTTTTTTTTTTTGCAGCTCTGCAACCTCTGTCCCCATCACTTTCATTGTATGGATAAGAGCACCCAGGACATTCGGCTAAATGTCTACTTTTGTGTTCCACAGAAGAAAGTCAGTCATATAAGTTTGAAATATAATGATTACAAAATAAGTGAACTATCCCTTTGAAATATTTTTAATGGACACTTACATAGTCCAGCTCATTGTCCAGATCCTCCCTGTCCTTGCGTGCATTGACCTGAGGGTAGACTTCATTGATGATTTGTGGTTGGACTGATGGTGTCTTCCCATTACAGTCCTGGTGCTCTCCAACGCTTCCCAGACCCCCAGAGAAGCTCTTCTTGCGCTGCCGTGCATGCAGAGGAGGCAGGGCCGGTCCAGGCACCTGCAGCAGCTCAGGAAGCTCCAAAGAGAGAGCCCGCCGTTCTCTGCGCGGGACGAAGCGTCTAGAGAGCAGAGGAGGGGGCGGAGGAGACAGCAGGGACTCCTGCTCAGTGGGGCGAGAGTGAGGGCTACAGACCCTTAAACTGCCTCCGCCCCCCATCCCCAGGCATCTAGAGGATCGACTTAAGCTGTTCCAGCTTGACCTGCGACTCCATATTCCTGGTCGTGCAGGCTGTCCCCAGTTGTGGTACATAGAGGCTCGCCCTGGACACTACAACACATATAGAATGCAAGTTGTTATCAAACAGTCCTGGAATCTGGCTGACCTGTCAACAGGTGTGCAGACTGTTCTGAAAAATGTAAAAAATATTATAGATAAATAGATTCAATAATAAATGCAGTCAGGTTCAGTGTTCAGGTGATTGGATTACAGTGGTGGCAAAAAGCACCAAGATAGCTTGCAAAAATTGCTTAATAGAATAAATGAATTAATAATAAAAAAATAGTCATTGCATTTTTTTGAAATTATTTTATACATTAAATAGTATTATATATCACAAAATATTTTAAATTCATTATGCTATTAAAATGATCATATATTTGTCTATTAATCACAAAACTCAGTGTTATTTGCTTGGCATAATTAATTTAGTGCTACTACTGTCCACAGGAAGCTGGTGATACAACGCTGTTTAGTGGAACGAATACTGTATTTCAAAGAGACGGGTTCAGGTCCAGGTGTTTGGATTGCAGTGGTGGGACGATGCTGTACAGTAAAGTTTCTCTGATCGAGTTAGTCTGCTGCGACCTCCACAATCTAAAACCCAAAACCATCCCACACGATGCACTAAAGTTTTGGGTGTTACCCGATTTGCTGTACATAATTCCTAGTGAATCTGACTAAAACATACGACGGCGCACACAAATAAACCATGCTTTCAACTCATTCTTAGCAAATTCCCCCCTCACTGTCTAGAACTCTAATAAAAAGCCAACCTCACAAGGGCTGTAATTATTTAAACCATTGTAAAAATAATTATGTAGTTTATAAGTTGCTCTCAGCTCTTCGAGTGCCCGCTCAACGACCCTCTGTGAGTATGCTAATATAGTGCAAGCTAGATGAGTAGAGATGGCTCTCTAAGTGCTGAGTAAGTGTCTTATTAATGGTTCGTAAAATGCTAATACATGCAGAGTTGATGGATAATTATTGTGTTCTTTGTGCTTTTTTGAGAGGTTTTGTATTGCTGGAGTGGTATGATATAGCCCTCTTGTTGAGTAAGACCCTGTAATGAATGGCAAGTTGACTGCAGCATGCACAATAGCTCACCAGCGTCGTCTGCTCCAGGCTAGCCCTGCTCAAAGAGCTCATGCTGCTCTTGCGGGAACTCAGGGCAAAGCTCAGCCTTTCAGATGGGTACAGGCCCCTGGCGTTGGGTGCAGGTGCCAAATCCAGATGCCCATTAGGGGTCAAAGTGGAAATCTTGGGATCTGCACAAACACACATGCCAATACTGATTAGATCACAAACACATCCGAAGGACTCTAGCCATGAGAAATTCTAGCTGGCTTATCACAAGGCACAATAAGTCAAAAGCAATTTGTTTTGTGTTTATGGTGCGGAATTAGGAAGTATATTCCACCAAGCCTATTAAAGTTTCAAGCTTGCATGATTTCTGGTATTTCTAAAGCCTCCTCTCATGCCAGGCAACGCTGGTGGGAGTGTGTAAGTTTGTGTTCTGTCTGTAGAGAGTATCAGTGTGTACATGCATTATTCATTGCATCATGTCCTCAGATCTCCCAGCGCCATTTTATTTGGACCAGATATTGAGACATTTCAATGCATTGCTCTCAGTTACTCATTTTTGAAACTGTTTAGGATATCGCATTTTGGGTAGCATTTTGTCTATTGTTAATTTCATTAATGAAAACTATGAAGAAAAATGTTCGTTGACAAGCTTTTTTTCTAAAACGAGACGATGACGAGATGACAATAAAGTCAATAAACGATAACTGTGACTATATCAACATGCAATATCTTTGACGACAAAAGACAAGACTAAATTGCATTTAAAAAAAAAAAAAAAACTATACAAAAATATTTGTATTTTTGTCGAAAAAATAAAAAAAACAGACAAAATATTATTGCGGACTACTGTACATGCCTCTACTATGTTCAAATCCCCAAATCAGAACTTCTCTGTTAAAAGGATACATTTTCTGCCCAGTGTTTTGCTCAATTTTTGCAATATGGCAACCATACGCATTTGCTCGCTCTTCATTGCAGAAGCGCCAACGATGAACTGAAAACGCAGACAAACAAGTAAGCTGAAGTTTAGCGATCTCCATGTGAGATGTTGAGATTAAATGAAAGTGTCATTCAGCCTGTCTGTGTTCTGTCATGAGATCTCGACTATTTTGTTTACTGAATTAATGCACTTACTCAACTGCTGTTGATTTAATAGAGAAACATTATTGCAATTTGGAATTATTGGAATTACTATTAGGAATTTTTTACCAGTTTTCATAATGTTGACAGAGTGCATATCTAAGTCTTTGATATTAATTTATATATTAAGTAGCTTATAATATCTAAGTCTTTGTAATTAATATAGCCTATAATAAATAAGTACACTAGAACTCATACACAAATATACAATGTGTTTGAGTTCACATTCTGTTGGTTTGTGCTTATTGGTGAAAGTGCCATACCTGAAATACCTGAAATGTAAAAATAAATTTCTCAAATGAAAACAATCATTGCAATTATAATTTTGAGATTTTAATTTTTTATTTTTTTTATCAGTTTAACCATTATACAGCAGAACGAAAATGTGAAAAATGTGACAGTGAAGTTTTCACTGACTAAAACTAGACTCAAATTCTCTAAAACTTGACTAAACAAAAACAGGACAAGGTTGACTAAATATGATAATAACTAAAAATTTGACAGAGGATTAAGACTAAGACTAATTTAAAAGACTAACGCTGTGTCCAAAATCACATACTTCCCTACTATATAGTAGGCGAAAAACAGTATGTGAGGCGAGTAGTATGTCCGAATTCATAGTATTCAGAAAACAGCAGATGAAAAGTATCCGGATTACCTACTTCTTCTTCCCAGATTCTGAAGTGTGCATTCGATGGACACTTTACTATTCCATGAGGCCATGGGAGAGGATTTATGAACGCCAGTGAAATGACGCAACTGACGCTGGTAGGTCAATTTCATTCATAGTGCCCATATTCATACTATATAGAACATACTTTTTTAACGGTCATGATGTAAATTCAAATTCAAATGTAGTACCTTGTCGGGTCTCGGGTCTGATCACCTCTTCTTTGCTGTCTCTGTGTTTGGGTGTTGTGTTGTTGTTGTGTGCTTGGCTTGTTTTGACAGCTCGCCACGTGCGCATTGTCAGCATGATTGTTTCCCCACCCTCCTTGTTTCTCTGCTCGCTAGATTCTTGTTTCACACCAGGTTCTTGTTATCTCATTAGCTTCCCCTTATAGCTCCTCGTGTTTCTCTGTCTTTTGTCAGACTGTTGTGATTATTCCCTTGCTCTGACTGTCATAGTTAGTATTGCTTACCAGTCCTGTCTTGTCTCGTTCAGGCTCCAGTGCTCGTAGCTGCCTGTATATTTTTCCTGCATCTCTCTGTGCGTTCAGAAACCCGTGGGCTCCCTTCGGCATCCGCCTACCCTGGGACTATGCGTTCTCGTTGCTGGGTTGCTCAGCCTCTCGCTCGGATTAGCGAGCTGCCCTGCCGGCTTCGTCTCCACTGCCGCAGTTGCGGCTTGTTCCAGCCGCTGCTATCCACCCATCTGTGTGGTAGGGGATGTGCTACTTTTGCGGATTTTTGCGGTTTTCAGTAAGTACCGGGCCACCTCTCTACCTCCGCATCGTCCCTACGACTGTGCCATAGACCTTCTCCCAGGCACTTCTCCGCCTAAGGGTCGTTTATATTCCCTTTCCGGTCCTGAAAGAGAGGCCATGGACGGGTATATACGTGAGTCACTACAGGCTGGGCTCATTCGCCATTCCTCCTGTCCCGCTGGGGCGGGGTTTTTCTTCGTTCAGAAGAGAGACGGCTCCCCACGCCCTTGTATTGATTACAGAGGTTTGAATGACATTACAGTAAAGAACAGGTACCCCCTACCTCTAATGTCTTCTGCTTTTGAATTGTTGCAGGGAGCTCGGGTCTTCACCAAATTAGACCTCCACAACGCCTACCATCTGGTGCGCATTCGGGAGGGGGATGAGTGGAAGACGGCATTCAACACCCCCTCGGGACACTACGAGTATCTGGTTCTTCCGTTTGGTCTGACCAATGCTCCGGCCGTTTTCCAGGGTCTCGTCAATAGCGTTCTGGGTGACATGATTAATCAGTTCGTCTTTGTGTATTTGGATGATATTCTGATTTTCTCCCCTTCTCTCCACTTACACACCCAGCACGTTAGACGGGTCCTCCAGCGCCTATTAGAGAACCAATTGTTCGTCAAGGCGGAGAAGTGCGAATTCCACGCCGAGTCTGTTACGTTCCTTGGCCATATCATCTCTACCAGGGGGATTAAACCAGACCCTGCTAAGATAGCATAACTACGACATTGGCAATAGAGAACTGTTGGTGGTGAGATTGGCCTTGGGGGAGTGGCATCACTGGTTGGAGGGGTCGGCGCATCCCTTCTTGGTCTGGACGGATCACAAGAATCTCGAATATATCCGTTCGGCCAAGAGGCTGAGCTCACGTCAGGCCCGCTGGGTGCTTTTCTTTGGCCGATTCAACTTATCCCTCTCGTACCGGCCAGGGTCCAAAAATGTCAAGCCCGACGCTCTCTCGCACCTGTTCGGGGCTCCGGAGGGGGAGCTGGCGGCCGAAGCCATCCTTCCTGAAGGGTTGGTGGTCGGGGCTCTTTCTTGGGGTATCGAGCGGCGAGTAGAGGAGGCCGGTCGAGGGGTGCAAGAGGGCTCCCCTACCTATACGGTTAGGAGATTACTCGACGAGCGGCGCCGTGGCAGAGGGTTTCAGTATCTCGTGGACTGGGAGGGTTATGGTCCAGAGGAGATATGCTGGGTGCCATCCCGGGACATTTTGGACCGTTCGTTGATCGAGGACTTCCGTCGGCGACAAGGTGGGCCTCCTCCTGGGGCGCCTGGTGGCGCTCCTGGGAGGGGGGGTACTGTCGGGTCTCGGGTCTGATCACCTGTTCTTTGCTGTCTCTGTGTTTGGGTGTTGTGTTGTTGTTGTGTGCGTGGCTTGTTTTGACAGCTCGCCACGTGCGCATTGTCAGCATGATTGTTTCCCCGCCCTCCTTGTTTCTCTGCTCGCTAGATTCTTGTTTCACACCAAGTTCTTGTTATCTCATTAACTTCCCCTTATAGCTCCTAGTGTTTCTCTGTCTTTTGTCAGATTGTTGTGATTATTCCCTTGCTCTGACTGTCATAGTTAGTATTGCTTACTAGTCCCGTCTTGTCTCGTTCAGACTCCAGTGCTCATAGCTGCCTGTATATTTTTCCTGCACCTCTCTGTGCGTTCAGAAACCCGTGGGCTCCCTTCAGCATCTGCCTACCCTGGGACTCTGCGGTCTCGTTGCGGGAGCTGTCCTGCCGGCTTCGTCTCCACTGCCGCAGTTGCGGCTTGTTCCAGCCGCTGCTATCCACCCATCTGTGTGGTAGGGGATTCCACGTCCACACGAACTGTCCGCGGAGGCGCTCATTTCCCATTGTGATCATTCTCTGTTCAATAAAGCCTCTGTTGTACCCGCACCTGAATCCAGCCTATTTTTTTTTTTTTTAATTTTAAATGTTTTTTTTTTTGCTTTCTTTGCTCAGCAAGGTGGCATTTTTTAAAATAATAAAATAAGTTAAAAAATTTGAAATTAATTTTCTTCAATGTCACATGATCCTTCAGAAATCATTATAATATGCTGATTTGGTGCTTAAGTAACATTTCATATTATTAGCAATTTTGAAAAGTTGTGCTGCTTATAATTTTGAGGAAATTGTGATTTGAATTTTTTTTGACGATTCTTTGATGAAAAAGAACAGCATTTATTTGTAATAGAAAATTTCTGCAACATTATAAATTTATTTACTGTCACTTTTGATCAACGTAAGACCTTGCTGAAAGTATTAATTTCTTAAAAAAAGAATTTTCTTTTAAAAAATCTTAATGACACAAAAACCCCAAACTTGACACCAAAATGACTAAATGACTAGCTTTAACTAATTAAAATTGTCGCCATAACCTTCACCAACAATTAAAAGGTGAAAACACAGAAAGGCTTACTGTATGTATATATTAACGTAGCTGACAATATCACAGTGTACTGGCATTGTAAAAGACTGTTATTAACCTTTTTTTTTGTTCAGATAATCTGAAAAAGAGCTTGGAACACGAACACAGAGTTTCTACTTAGAATGAACCAAAATAAAAAAAGAACTACAGTACTGCACATAAGGTTCGGAAACACATGGAAAAACAGCTTTGCTTTAATAACACTTCCTTAGTTAGTCCACAGCTCAGTACCGGACAGCTGGAGTGAGTCCTTTTTCTCAGTTTCTTCTAAGTTACAAGAGGATCTGTCGTCATCAGAGTAGGAATGGTTAGCATCACCCTGTCGCAGACAAAAAACAAACAAAAAAAAACAGACACAACGTCAAAATGACACAAGTTAGCTTGAGTTACATTCACATGTCACAGAGATTTCACTCTCAAAGTCAGTTTGGTTATAGACTGTGGTTTTCACTCGTTATAACGAAGTGTGTGACTATAACCATACTTAACCACGGGGTTGACAATGTTATTCAAGCACTGCGTGAGCCATAGACAAATAAAAGACAAAAGTGAGGGACAGACTTTCTTTTGTAAAATAACTAAACAGCCCTGAGCCGTTTTTAATAGATATGTCAATCTCACTGCCCTCCCTCTGAAAGTCAGTCGCATTTGCTCTAGTCCCCCACTCACCCTCACATAGTGCCTCAAATCTAGACCATAACCTGGAGGCCCACTTCTACATGCTCCCTGGAGAGATAACCTACTCCTGCAGTCTGCATACCTGCCTGTGGAGCGCTATTTATACAAGCATGCACATCGAAAATATATTCACCAGCAAGAACAACAAGAGCTGTAAGTTATTAAAGCCACGCCATGTTCTTGCTGTCATTTTATTGCTAAACACCAGTATAAATTTGACCCCGTTTTTGTTTGTAATTTCACAGTTGTAATAAAATAACGTCAAAGCGCCGCTTTTCTATCGCGAATGTGCCAAATCTGCTGATGTAATTACAACCGTTAATGATAGAGAAGGGTAGGGGGAGCTCGGGGGAGAGCTGAGCTCTCGTGCCTCTGTTGGTAAAAAAAAAAAAAAAATTAGCCAATCACCATCGAGTATTCACTTTCAGCGCTGAAGAGTGTTGACAAAAGAAACCTCGCAGGGGATGCTAGCCTCCTTTCTGGTATATCAACCAATCATCATAGAGACGTAAATTACGTGATATTAGTTTGAACGTCTCCCGCTGCGCTG